CAATTAAATCCTTTCCTACACAAAGAATGAAAACCATGTAAAATCAAACAAAATCTCATAAAACTCATCCAAATATCAATAATATCAAGGTAAAAATTCCCTATTAATATGTATATAAATTTAGCTCATCACTAGGTGTGAGGAAAAAGGACTTGTGCTCAATTAGGAAAAAGGTCATTTCATGGTGTCCTAAGGTATTGTTTTGGGACATATTGTGTCTAAAAGAGGAATAGAAGTTGACAAGGCCAAAATAGAGTTGATCTCTAGATTACCTACACCTAAAACATTAAAAGATGTTCGATCTTTTCTTAGACATGCTCGTTTTTATAAGAGGTTCATTCAAAATTTTTCAACCATAGCTTAACCTTTGTGTAATCTCTTAGCCAACGATGCTGAGTTCAATTGGAACCCTCAATGTGAAGAAGCTTTTCAAACCCTTGTCACCAAATTAACCATGACATCGATCATACAATCACTAGATTATAGTCTTCCATTTGAGATTATGTGTGATGCTAGTAACCATGTTGTAGGAGCAGTTTTAGGCCAAAGAAGGGAAGGGAAACCCTTTGTTGTATATTATGCTAGTAGAATTCTCAATAGTGCTCAAAGGAATTATTCTACAACTAAAAAAGAGTTCCTAGCTGTTGTTTTTACTTTAGATAAATTCCATTCTTATTTTATTGGTTCACCTATTATTGTGTTTATTGACCATGCAACACTTAAGTATCTTCTGTCTAAGAAGGATGCTAAAGCTCATTAGATTAGGTGGATTTTACTTTGTAGGAATTTGATCTCATAATAAAGACAAGAAGAGTGTTGAAAATGTGGTGGTTGATCATTTGTCTTGATTGGAGTTCAATGACTCCAATAATGAAAGTTTACCAATTCGAGATGACTTCCCTGATGAACATTTGTTCACTGTTAGCCAAGTTCCATGGTATGCTTACATTGTTAATTACTTGGTTTCTGGTGAATTCCATCGAATTGGAGTGCACAAGATAAGTGCAAGTTCTTGATTGAGGTAAGAAATTTTTATTAGGATGATCCTTTTTTGTTTAAGTATTACCCTAACCAGATCATGAGACGATGTATTTTGAAATATGAGATTAATAGTGTCCTTAACTTTTGTCATTTTGAAGCTTGTGGTGGCCATTTTTCTATGAAGTAAACTGCTGCAAAAATTTTGCAATGTGGATTCTATTGGCCTACCTTGTTTAAGGATACTAATGCTTTTTGTTGTTCTTGTGATAGTGCCAAAAGTTAGGTGCATTAACTTGTCATCACATGATGCCTCTTAACCCAATTCTAGTCATTAAGATTTTTGATTGTTAGGGTATTGATTTCATGGGACCCTTTCCATCTTCTTTTGGTTACCTTTCTATTCTTCTTGTAGTTGATTATGTATTTAAATGGGTTAAAGCTATACCATATTGTACCAATGATAACAAAGTTGTTGTTAAATTCTTGAAAGAAAATGTGTTATCTAGGTATGGTACATCACATGTGATTATTAGTGATCAAGGGACATATTTTTGTAACTGTTATTTTGAAGCCTTGATGCGTAGGTATGGCGTTATTCACAAAGTGTCAACTGCTTACCATCCACAGACTAATGGACAAGCTAAATTAGCCAATAGGGAGGTAAAACAAAATTTGGACAAAACGATAAACCTAAATTACAAAGATTGGTCTTTATGCCTTTCAAATGCACTTTGGGCATATCGCATTACTTATAAGACTATTCTTGGGATGTCTCCATATCAGCTTGTATATGGGAAAGCATGTCACTTACTTGTGGAGCTTGAACATAAAGCTTATTGGGCTACTAAAGCACTTAATTTTGATTTGAATGCTACAAGTACCCAAAGAAAGTTACAAATCTCAAAGATAGAAGAATTGAGGAATGATGCATATGATAACTCTAAGATCTACAAGGCTAAACTAAAAGTAGCTCCTGACAAGTAGATCTTAAGGAAGAACTTTGAGCCAAATCAAAAAGTGCATCTTTATGATTCTCATTTGCATCTTCATCTAAGAAAGCTAAGGTTTAGAGATGGACAAGTCTATTTGTGGTGAAACAAGTTTTCCCTAATGGTGCGGTTGAGATGGAGGATCCAATCGATGGGAGAATTTTTTGAGTTAATGGACAACAGTTGAAGTAGTATGTGGAGCAAGTCAACCAACCTGAAGAGATCACTCTTATGGCTCCAATCTATGATACATAATTAGGTGTTATCTTTCCATAATATCATCTTTTTCTTCTTTTCTCTTTCTTGTTTTTGCTTTTCTTGTATTAGTTTTTCTTTTATTAGTTTTCT